TTTGGAAGCAATATCTGCTTCTCCATAGAGACATGATCCTTCCCAACCAGGATTCTTGAGAACAGAGCTTTGTCTTCAGCATCCAGGTGAGATGCATTCAATCATTGCCATTGAAATAAACTGACAGATTATAAAAAATACTTTGAAAATGGGTATGTTCATGAGAAATTCATCGTGTGGAACAGTGGGGAGAGGACAGGCATACAACAATGAGATACAGTTCACCTTGCTTCTCCTACCAACTGTGTGTCATTCTCTTGACAAATTCTCATGTACTTTGGCACCAGTACTCCCCCAACTCTCATTTGGCTGGCCTTATTCTTGCAAGAAGAGCATAGCCCATTTTCTCGAAAGCAGAATTCTTCCCTTTCTCAAACAGGATGAATGTTTTCAAATATCGTCATATTTACTTGAGTTACTGAGATGGTGTTGAGTCGAGGTGTTGATCAATGAATTGGTTTTCTATTTTTCTATTGCAAACTACCACAAGCTAGATTATTCAAAAATAGAGGTTTATGTTCTCATAATTGTAGGTAGAATGTCTAAGGCCAAATATCATCCATTTTGGTTTCTAAAGCATTTCTCAATGGCTTGTAATTGCCCATCTCTAGCTGTGTTTTTTCTTTCCATTGATAGTACTGGGGTTTGAACTCAGGGCCTTGCACTTACAAAGCAGGCACTACATCCCTTGAGATATACCTCCAGCCCTTTTTGCATTAGTTTATTTTCAGTTAGTTTTGCAAGCTTTTTGTCCAGGGCTGGCCTCAGACTACAAAACTTCTACTTTCCCATGTATTTGTTCTATCAGGTGTATGCCACAATATCTGGCCCTCTCCTTGTGTTTTAGTATGGTCAGACTTCCCTCTGTAAATTCTTTCTTATCTCCTTTGTCTTTAAGGACAAGAGTCATATTGGATAATGACTCACACAAATGGCCACATTCTAATTAATTATCATTTTTAATACCACCACCAAATATAGTGATATTCTGTGGTATTAGGTATTGCAGTTTTACCACAAGAATTTTGGGGTGGATGCAATTCATCACATAGCAATAACTTCTTCTCTTATTTTGCTTCATTATTTTTTTCTCTATTGTTGTGCTGGATGGGTGTACATTGGGCATTTACAAAGATTGTTACAATGTATCAAATATACCATACTTGAATTTATCCCCTCCACAGCTCTCTTTTATCCTCCCTCCCCAGATTCCTGGAACAGTTTGAACAGGTATTATTTTTGGATTTACATACATGTATACACATTTTTGTACCATATTCATCCTTCTATCCCTTTTCCACTCAACCTCCCACTCCCACTAGTGCCAACACCTCCAAAGGCAGAACCTATTCTATCTTTTCTGCCCTCCTGTTCCCTGATTTTGTAGAAGAAAAAAAATGTAAAAGATCAAAAGAAAAACATGACATTTTTGCTAGGTTGAGATCAAGACCTAGGAATATGCATGCATATATGTATTATGTAATATATGTAAATAAACCTAGCTGGTTTATTTCTTCTAATTCTCTCCACTTCTCCATAGCCCCCTTCCTATGGTGGCACAGGCAGTTTAAAACTTCTTTATTCATTCCTGTACAGAGAGCCCATCAACAACATTCAAGTTCTTAGTTTAGTTTCCTTTCTTTGCCTATCTCTCCTGTCTGTGACCTACTTTTAGTTTGACCTGTGTTCTTATAATACTACTGCATTTCTTTTAGTTCTATATTCCACATATGAGAAAGAATATGCAGCTTTTGGCTATCTTAGCCTGGGTAACTTAATGTGATGTTCTCCAGTTCCATCCATTTACCTGTGAATGCAAAAATTTCATTCTTCTTTGTGGCTGAGTAAAATTCCTTTGCACAAATATATCACATTTTTTTCTTTCGTCAGTAGTGGGGCATGTTGGCTGTTTCCATAGCTTAGCTCTTTTGAGTAGTGCTGCATTAAACGTGAGTGTACTGATCTCCTGACCATTCTTTATACATCTTTATTCATCGGATTTTTGTACTTCTCTCTCTGGGGTCTGTGAAGGAGGTTAGATGCAGAAAGACTCACATATCTGATTCCTAATCCTCATGTATTACTTTCTAAAACTATCAAATATTTTAAGCAGGGGCATCACATAGAGACACAGAGTTCAATTAATAGCAATAATAACACACAACTACATCTCAGCACTTTCTATGATTAACCAATATTAACTTTCTGAGCAGTTTCAGGTCTTTATAATGAAGTAATAAAATAAGTAGCATTCAGAATTCATGACCTTGTTATTTTCCTTCATTCCTCTTCTTCTCATCACAAAGATGCCATCATCAACGCCATAACATCTCCTACACATAAATCTTCATCATATATATAGTCATAATTAAAAAGCATCAACCACAGCCTTGCTCAGTTAGAAAATGTAGAGGTGAATTGTACTGGGACAGAATGGTGGAATACTGTGGTAGTTACAATCAATGTAGGATGGCTAAATACAGTAAAATTAAGTAAAAAATACTTAATAATGCTTATTATATATAGCATATATAGTAGAATTATGCTTACATAAAATCTTTAAAGTTCAACATAAGACAGATACATTGATTGAATGAATACTATCAAATATAATAAAACTGTAGAAGAATAATGTGTACCAGGGTAGTGTGTTAATTTTCTAGAGGGAAGGAAATATTTTAAGTTTGTGCAAACACATGGGATGTGGAGCTTTATATAAGATTCTAGTATTTTTTGAAATAAAAGTAATAGATCAAGGGTGGTAAACTATGTTAATGTTTTACAGTTTTCTCATGGACATACATCACTTTTTATTCTCTCTACTCTCTTTTTTTCATATTAAGGGTATTGGAGTTTGAACTCAGTATCTCACACTTGGTAGGCAGTTGCTTTACTCCTTCAACCTACCCCAGACATTTTTGTTTCAGGTATTTTTTGGTTGCTTCTCAAGTTATAGGCCAGGGTTGGCATTGGATCATGATCCTTCTCCCCATGCTTCCTGCAAAGCTAGCAAATAGGCACACACCACCATTTCTGGCTTATTGGTTCAGATAGAATCTGGATAACTTTGCCTGGCCTTCAACCTTGATCCTCCTGATATCTGCCTTCCAATTATCTGGGATTATGGCTCTGAACCGCCATGCCATTTCTATCTTTTCTACTTTCTATTATGAATCTTTGACCCACAGTGAAAATATACTAACCTCTGCAGATACAAAAATATTTCAAATATTCTTATGGCATACACTTTTTCATATAATGTTTTTTGCTAATTATGTTTTATAATTTCTATATATCATTGTCTAATTTCTGCATTACTTAATTCATTTTCATTGCTATAAAATTTTCATATATCCTAGAACAGTGAATTTTGGAATCATTGATGATTCTTTCCTTAATTTCTTTTTCTTCTGGGAGTCAAAATTCCCAGATGTATTGTCATGCACACACACACACACACTTGGATGATAAGCTATGTCAGAACAAGGATCCTACATATCCACACAGTGTTTGATGCATATTTTCTGTCCACTTTTCATCATTGAGGTATCTCCATCAGACAACTTTATTCAGCAATATTTACACATAAAAAATTTTAAATTTTTATGATATGCACTATGATGAATGGAGAAATACAGTTTTTTCAAATGATTATTACTCCACCACTAATTAACACATCTATGAGGAAATTCCACAAAGGAAATGAGGACACCCAGGCCTTAAAGATAATTAGGAACTTGGATTAAATTCATGATATGTGGGGCTACTCTTACACAAAATGATCATTTCTGACATAGCTCCTGCTCTCTTCCCCATGAGTGGAACACCATTGCCCCCAAGGGTATTTCCGGTATTTGACATTATTATCTAAGTCCATGTTACCTTGTTAATCTCTCTCTTTCAAAGACCTACTAGAATTGGTTTTAATTTTCATCTGTTTTTAATGGTGCCTTGAATTTCATTCTTTATTTCATATAGCTACTAATTTGGTTTTGTATTTATTTTATTTTGTGATACACTTCTTATCTCATTAAAGAAGAATTTCACTTAAAATGAGAGAATGCCATCCACATGGTAGTGAGCTTCATGATGAATTATTGATAAAGAAGACTTCTTTTGTTTTCAAGGAGATTCTTGTGAATTGCAAGGTTATATGCTTCAAGTGAAGCCTTCTTTAAAGCTTTTTTGTGAGCTTCATGGTCCTATACACCTGGATGGATGCTCTCCACTTGCTTCAATTAAGTTCACGTGTGAATTCTCATTCAGGGAAACCTCAGCACTATGTTTAGGATGAAAGTGTTAAAATTAAAATAGTAATTATGAAACCTGTATGATCACTTTGTAATGAAAATTGTTAGGCATGAGCAGAGATAGACAGAGAGTGAACTGAGAAGTCAGATGAAGAGACATTGAACATGATCATTATCAACTGTCAACTTACGTCCAAGACATGTCTTCATAGCTATCCAGGGTTGACAGCATTAACTCATATATGTGTAAGTTCATAAGCACTTCGAAAGATTCTGAGGCATGCCAAAGTTGGGGACCATTACTGTAGAAGATAATTTGATAAGGTCATTATTATGCTTCTTTCTGAAGACATGGACTTATTTCAAAGGAACATCCATGTCCTTTTTTTCTTAACATCTCATCAATTGCCATAATATGTGTAAATATGTTGATAATCAGTAAAAAGTGAATGAAAGTTAGAAGACTAGAGAAGAGGAATGGAGGGAGAAGGTAAGCAATGATTTGCACATTTATATATTTCATAATAAAAATAGGGTAATTTTTCATTTTCTAAGAATGACTTCTATAAGATTAGAGATAGCAAATTCAGTAGGAGTGGTTTTGTTTCAAAGATACATTGCCAGTCATCATCACCAGACCTTATCAAACCTAAGTTTAAAATTATACAAGATTTTCATATGTACTACATATACATACAGAGATGTTATTTCATGTACAGACAAAATTCATTTCATTTTTTTCACCTCATTTCTTCCATAAGATTCTGCAGCAGCATGGAAGCCACAAATCAGACAAGCATTAGAGAATTCTTTCTTGTAGGAATACCAGATGTTCCAGAACTTCATTCCTTTATCTTCAGCACATTTCTAACCATATACATGGTAACCATCCTAGGAAACCTGCTTATAATTCTGGCTGTCAGCTCTGACTCCCAATTCCATACCCCCATGTACTTCTTCATCTCCACCCTGTCCTTCACTGACATCTGCATAAGCACCACCACAATCCCAAAGATTCTGGTAAATATCCAAGGCCATACTCAGAGCATCACTTACATAGGATGCCTCTCCCAAGTCTGTTTTGTCCTGATTTTTTGTGGTTTAGAAAATTGTCTCCTTGCAGTGATGGCCTATGATCGCTATGTGGCCATTTGTCATCCTCTGAGGTATACTGTGATCATGAACCCACGCTTCTGTGTTTTACTCCTTCTACTCTGCATCCTGATTACTGTAGTAAATGCCCTACTACATAGCCTGATGATGTTGCAGCTTTCTTTCTGCACAGATGTGGAAGTCCCTCACTTCTTCTGTGAACTTCTTCAAGTGATCAGGCTCTCCTGTTCTGATACGCTCATTAATAACATCCTTGTATATTCGGGGAGTAGCATATTTGCTGGTGTTCCTCTCTCTGGTATTATTTTCTCATACACACAAATCATCTCATCTATTTTGAAGATCCCATCAGTGAAGGGACGGTATAAAGCATTTTCCACCTGTGCTTCTCACCTTTTAGTGGTTTCCTTATTTTATGGGACAGCTTTTGGAGTGTACATGAGTTCTGAAGTTACTTACTCTTCCACCAAAAACATAACAGCTTCAGTTATGTATATTGTGATTCCTCAAATGCTGAATCCCTTTGTCTACAGTTTAAGGAACAGGAAAATGAAGGAAGCATTGAAGAATGCCATTGTTGGAATGCAATTGTGTCTTCTTTGTAGCCGTGTGTGTTCAGAATGACTTACAATGACAGAAGAACTTATGAACCAGAATTCCTGACTCTATCACCAAGTTCTTCCAAAATTTACTAGATCATATAGTGAGTTATTCCATTTTAATTTATGCTTTAAAATTGGGTTTGCACTTTGATCATCTGTGGAATATTGTTTAAAAATTTTCTGTCTCTGTGCTCCATATTATTGCTCTGATTCTACTGAGAAACAACATAAGGTGAGTGATCAGTTTTCCTAAAATCAAATGGAACTGTTTCTGAGGATGCAAATTTTAGAAGGTGGATAAGGTAGGGAAAGTATTAAGCAATTTCAAGTTCATGTGACGAAACTGGATTCAGGCTACTGCCATTGTTCAGTCCAGTTATGTTTGATCTCACAGTTAGACCTACTGAGACAGAAATGAAATGAACCTTCATACGTGACTTTGCAATTACTAAGCTGTTCCTTGAAAATTGTTTCCTTATGTGGTCATATTAACATCTTCCTTACACAATTTCATTATTTATAAAAGTCACACAATAAGATTTTTCAGTGGCTTGAGTTTGTTCTTTTAAATAAATCCTCTTTTAAAATAAAATATGCTGTCAGTTCTTGAAGAAAAGTAAATGGTAAAAATGTACTGAGAAAATTAACATATTTCTTAGTCTTTCATTACAATGGCTTGAGAATTTGGGAATACATAGAATTTGGACATCAGGCCTCACTGAATCTTACATGAGGTGGCCTCTTAAGGACTTTTTCTTCTCAGTGTCTCCAGGTAGTTCCAGGAAGTTGAGCACATACAGGTATTATAACTGCACATGACATAAGAGACAGTAACCTGAGTGCTCATAAATGAACCTTTAGAAATTTCCTTGGAGTCCCACAAATAGCATCTCGGTCATAGTTTGAAGGGTGACTCTCAAAATTACATTTCTATATCTTAATAAACTTGTCCTGCCAATCTGAGCATATGAAGGTAAATTATTCCTATAAAAAGTGATCTTTGGAGAGAAGTTTAGTTCACATTCTACAGTAGGGTCTTAGATATAACATATATCCTGTTAGTATAGACAAAGGGAAATTAGATGAATGTGATTACATTTTGTCACTGTTATACGTATTTGACAAAAACCTTAATTTCGTAGAAATCCAATGCATTGTTTATCACCCATATGTATACATATGTACAATTTATTACATAAATTTTCTTATTTTTGACATCAATGCATTTTGAATCAAAATTGCCTTTTCATCATTGCACTTTTGAGATTACATCATACTTATTCATTTATTTTCAGTGCTCTCAAATTTTGCACAAAATATTCCTGATAGTGATGATAATTGGGTAGCTATTTGCCTGCCATGGTAAGTATAACTGAGACAATATTCTCTTTAATGTTTCTTGATTGAAAAGAAAGGGAGCTGTATATTTTGAACAATAAACATTATGTAAAATGGTACATAATTTTTTCTCATGAAAATCTGAGAGAATTAATTTGCTAAATTCAAATCCATTACTTCAATTTTGTATAATATTCTAACCTAAAGAGGACATCATAATCACTTACTCTGTGTCAGTCCTCTGTCATTTGTTTTGATTAAATATATGAATTCCCTCATGATTTACTGATTTGGAAATATGCAAGCACACTTCACTTAGTATCCTTCATTTCTCTTGGCAATCTTCCAATTATTCCTATTCCTGCAAGTGCACAGAAAGCCTGGATGCTTGTGCTTAGAAGTTGTTGATTTCTCATACTATACTCAGCTTCATATGTTTTAACACATTGCTGCTTTTACTTCAGTTATTTAATTTTTTTAATCTTCTACTTTTTTTCTCCTCTTATTTTATCATTTTTACATTTATTAACATATTTATACATTGTTTGTGCCACCAGGCACTCCTTCCCCTACTTACAGGCTGAACTGTTCCTCCCACTATTTCTCTGATTTTGTTGAAGAGAAAACATAAGAGATAATAAGAAAAACATATCATTTTTGCTATTTTGATGTAAAGAAAGCTTTACAGAGAGATTCTTAGTGTTGCTTTCATGCACTTGCAACCCACATTGGTTCATTTCTACCAGACCTCTTCACTTCTTCCTGGTCCCCTTCCCATAGTGGACTCTAACAATTAAGATTATGTTATTTACTACTCAACATGGAGCTCATGAACCACATTCAAGTTTTTGGTTTCCTTTCCCTATTTCTCCCATGTGTGTTCTTTCCTTAGCGTGTGACCCATATCCAATAATATTACTGCATTTTTTCTCCCACATAAGAGGGAGAACATGCGATTTTTGGCCTTCTGAGTCTGGTTAGCTTTGTTTAAGATGATGTTCTCTAGTTCCATCCATTTACTTGCAAATGACAAAATTTCATTCTTATTTGTGGCTGAGTAAAATTCTATTGTGTATAAATACCTCATTTTCTTAATCCATTCGTTGATTGTAGGGCATCTTAGCTGTTTCCATTGCTTGGTTATTATAAATAGTGTTGCAGTAAATATGGGTGTGAAGTTGCTCTTGTAATAACTTGAGTCAGTTATTTTAATATGTGAATATTTAACATTTATTCTCAATCCTTGTTTTGGAAAATGACAGCACATATCAACTTAAAAATAATGACTTGATATTTATTAAACTACTATAAACAAAGTCTCATTACAATAATTCTTATAACACCTAAGACTTCTGATAGCATATATTGTGGGTCTTGTTTTAATACCCTGTGTTTATAGAACCTAAGACATGGAAATTTTAAAAACTTCTTTTGTGTTTTAGTTCTGGGTAAATATTCAGAAAGCGATGGACTCCTGCTGACATTTTTGTATTCCTTATCTAGCAATATTCACAGGTTAACTTAGGTCATAGTATGATGTTAACTAAGTCTGATGTCCTGACATCAAATGTGCATGAGCTTCCCCTAAAGGAAAAAAGTTATCTCCAGGACTCTCACATTGCTCCATCTGTAGTCTCAGTTTCCTTTCGCTTTATAAAAAAACTCCTCACCAATATCTGTACATTGCCACTACCAATTACTCTCATTAATAGGTTTCTGAGGTCAACACAACATGCTCTTTTCTTTTTGCACAAATGTCAGGTTCACAATTGTCCTCACCTATCATCAATCGAGTTTCTACATTTGAATACACTTTACTGACTGCCATTGTTTGGTGACATGTAGAATGCCATAAATCCATCCACCAAGACATAAGTAAACTTTTTAAAGTTCTGCCATGATGTTTTTCTGAAACTTTCATATATTCTAAATCTATAGCCATTGGTCTAGTGCTAAACTCTTCAGTTCTCCCATATTTCTCAAATCAATAAGCTTTAAATAGAAGAAGGCAACTAGAAACTAAGTATCATCAGTTACAAATATCAAACAAACTGGATTAAATACCTAAATGTAAGTCCAAAAGCTCTGAAACTTTCACAGAAAATATAGAAGAACTATTTGGACACTGGCTCCATCAATGCACTTTGGATATTACCACCAAACACACTAGCTACAAAAGAAAAATTTGTAAATTGGAATAAAGGAATAAAAAATTTCTCTTGAATACGAAAGTAAACAATCGACAGAACCAAGAAACAAATTACAATTTGGAAGAAAATAGTTGCAAACTACACATATGACCAAGGGCTAAATATACAAAAAATATATATAAAGAATATACCACGTTAGTTTTAAAATTATTAAAACCCAATTAAAAATGGGCAAAACTGAATTCTTATATTTGTAAGCTTGCTAAATGGGAAACTTCAATTGGGAGAAACACAGTTCCAGTTCACCCCAGGCAAAAATTCCTGAGATCCACCATTGTAACACATAGGTGTATATGGTTGTATGTACCTGTATGCCCAGCAATGGTAGAAGGTATAAACAGAAGATTGTGCTCAAAGTCAGCCTGGGCAAAAAGTAAGATGCTATTTCAAAAATAACTTGTGAAAAAAATAACTAGAAGGTGGCTCCAGCATCAGAGTGCCTAGCGTGCATGAAATCCTGACTTCTAATCCAATTGCCTTCGAAATATGGATGAATAGAGTTTTAAATGGAAATTTATAAAAGTAAGACATAGAATGGACAACAGCTATCTGAAACAATGCTCATTATCATTAATGAATGTTATGAAAATAAAAAAATCAATGAATAGGTAGGCATAGTGGCACCCTGTAGTTGTAGCTATTAAGGACACTGAGGCAGGACAATTGCTTGGGCACCCTCATTGGAAGGTATCCTGGATAGCATATAAAGACTATCACCCACAAAAACCAAAACTGAAACCAAAACAAAACAACAGAAAAATCAGAACGAAAAAGGATATCAAATGTTGCCAATGGTGTGGGAAAATGGAATAGTTGTGCAGATATGGTGACAAGGTAAGTTAGTACAGACATTATGGAGACTAATATGGTGGTTCATCAGAAAAATAAAACTATAGCTACCACAGAATCTAGGATTCAAATATTAAGTTTATATTCATATGTAATAAAATGAACATATTGAAAAACACTCCCAGAGTCAGTTTACTACAAGATTTTTTCGGTAGTCTGTATGAAGACTCAACCTAAGTGTCTACTCATTACTCATGAATGAAGAAATATGTTGTATAATAAAAAGGGAATATTCTTCAGCTGTAAAAGCATGAAGTCCTGAGATTGATGACAATATGGGTGGGTCTGGAGGACATTTTATTAAGTGAAATAAGTGAAGCATAGAAAGACATAGTATCATGTCACTCATAAGAGGAATCTGGCTGATCTCATAGAAGAGCAGATATTTCCAGACATCAGTGAGAATAGGAGGGATTGGTGAGAGGGTTGTCAATAGATACAATATTATTGTTTGAGAGAGGAAATTATTCTGCTGTTTTATGGCAAAATGGAGTTAATGTAATTAGGATTAAGACATTGTATATCTCAAAATAGTTGGAAGAGAAAAAATTGAATAGGCACACCAAAAAGAAATTTTAAAAGTGTAAGGTGATGGACATCCTAGTTACCCTTTTGAAAACATATA